ATTGAAAATCATCCAACATTTTTACTTTGTTGTGTCTAGTGTCTACAGTCACCTTGTCGTTTCTTTCAACTTACATCTTTTTTATGTTGTCAAGTTGCACCTTCTTATTTTGTTTCTCATCAAGCTCTTTGAACATAAATTTGACCCTTGTCATATTATTTGAACAATCACTATCTACGAACCATATATCACTTGGCTTATGGTTTATATCAATGCAAGCCATAAAAAGATAATTTTCTTCCTCCTTTTGTTCTGCTGCAAAATTCATTTTTTGATCTTTAAACCAACAATCAGCCTTTATATGCTCATAGCGGTGGCAGTGATGACATTGAATGTCATTCTTTGTGTTGCCTTGCTTATTGGACTGCCTATGCCGTTATTTATTCCTTTGCCTCTTCCATTACCACGATCTCAACCACCACGAAATCCTCTACTTGATGGACCATTATTATCTCCATATTTAGTGGTTGCTTCTTTCACTTGAAATGTCTTTTCTTCGTTCTTCTCTACTGATCAATTGATTCTCACCTCATAAGCTTGAAGAGATCTCATCAATTCATCAAAGGAAAAAACTGACAGATCCTTAGATTCTTCGATAGCCGCAATAACGTGATCAAATTTTGGATTCAAGCTTCTCAATACCTTTTCAATAATAATCTGATCAGTAATCTTCTCTGCATATGATCGCATTTGACTAACAATTGTCATTGCTCTTGACATAAAATTAGCAATAGATTCACCACTTTTTATCATCAAGGTTTCAAAGTCACATTGAAGTGATTGCAGTCTCACCACAATAAATTTTGAATCTCCTTGAAACTCTTTCTGCATAATGGATCATATAAATTTTGAATCTCCTTGAAACTCTTTCTGCAGAATGGATCATACTTGCTTTGATGTGGTCTTTGTTGCGATTCGTGAAAAAACACCGTCACAGACAACCTGCTGGATAAACACCAATGCCTTAGCATTTTTTTTCTTGTTGTCTCGCAACCTATTTTCTTCATCGAGATATGTATATCTATGTTCTTCTAAGTCCCAAAGATCTTGAGACTTGAGTATAGTTTCCATACGTATACTCCAGAATTCGTAGCTTTCTCCTTGAAGACAGGAATGAGTGTTGTGCCACACTCAATGAACTACCGTTAGTTTTCATGACTAGCTCTGATATCAAATTTGCTGGAAATGAAGTACAGAGAAATCTGGAAATAAAAAAAAAACTGCGACTGCATTTTAATTCAGATTAATTGAAAGTACTTAAATAACAAAATATGCGCACATGATATATAGGCTAAGAGATAAACAACTAATCCTAAAATATAGGTCATGTAACCCACTATGACACTTAATCAGCAACATAATAAAACTAAAGTACATATAGAAAACTACTTAACAAAGACCCAAAGACTAGTTCTATTAAACTACCCATGTCCCAATTCAGTTAATCTTTTCGAATCACTTTTTAAATAATATTACTGAAAATCATAAGGAGGAAACAAAAGAGATGTGATCTTATATGATACTTAGACAAAGTTGAATACATTTTATTTACAAACAAATAGTTCAATGATTTTTCAGCATTCTTCAACAAAGTTGAGTTCAAAAAATAGTTTAGTAGTATTGGTAAAATAAAATAAAATTTGAGTGAACATCCGAGAAATCATCCATCTAATGAAGGACATGGATTAGGGTGCGAAATGGAATTTGGATGAAATTACGTGCCAATATGGTTTCAGATTCTATATCTTTTTTTCTAGTGATGATCGTGTCCAAACTAACTCACATGAACTTTTATTATTTTACTGGATATCTATTACCTAAATTCCATATCTTATTATTATTAATGGTGATTATGAAGATTTCTAAGTTAAAAAGATTTTGATATTGAGATCCTTTTGTCCCTTTTCCTTATTCAACTTGTTGTGTAAGGTTGAAGGTAGATCTACAATTCTCGAAACAATGTCAAACCAATCAAAATTGTTAATTGCCTCAATACATGAACACATATAAATAGGAAAACTATTTTTTCTAATTAGTCCAATCGAACGCACATTGAGACATTCAATAGTTTGCTAATGGAGAAGACTATTTTAATAATCAATAATATCTTGATGATATTTATTTACATTTGAAAATATCCAATTAATAACTGTTTAACTCAAAAATAAAAATAGAATTTGTAATTTGCACCCCAAATATGACGTGACATATCACAAATCATATGTTATTCATGGATGGAATATTAATTTAGTGAATGATACGCAAAATAAAATGTATATTTATAATAATCAATATATAAATGTTCTTGGTCTTGGACAATCGATCTAATACGCAAATTTGTTAAATTTGTTTTTTTAAAACAAAAAATATTGTGCCACAATATTCTTGAATGAAGAAAATGTGTTTGAGTTGATAAAATATAATTACACCCCTTTCATTGAAAATTAGCTGACATCGAATTTCTTTGAACTTAAGAGATTTGAATCGAAATTTTTAATTGCCTAACATATCTTATTTTATCCAAAATTAATGCAACAACACATGTTAAGAAATTTAATATTTGATGAAGGATTATTTTAATTATAAGCAATATCTTGATGATATTCTTTTCTTAATACACATTAAGAAATTGTCAAAACGTGCAACATTAATTTAAGGGGACATGGGGTTGTAGGGATCCCTCAACCGACCCAATGAGTTGTACATATTTGTTTTTAAAGTTGCACATGATTTGTACTAATTTGTTAATTATGAGTGATATCTTGATGATATTAATTTCACTTAAAATACATCCAGCCAATCATTGATCAACTCAAATATGATGTAACATGCCACAAAGTATATGTCAATCACTTGAGGAGTTGGAATTTGTATAATTAATTTATATTCATAATAATCTATATCTATATAATAATATAAAGCTGGATATAGAAAAGGTGATGTGGCACCTTTCTATGGCCAGCATTTAGATTTATCTTTATTCTTACTTTTTTTTATTTTAATTGCATTTTTATTTCATTTCTACTACTAATAAAATGACAACTAACAAAAACTTCATAAAACTCAATTAAACATTAAATTGCAGTAAAGACTCAATTGAATCTGATTGTAGCCCACGTTGTCATTCCTTCATTAACCTTAGAAGGATTTATGAAAATAAATAGATAACAATAAAGATGAGATCATGAGAATAAAATCAAGTATAACGTAAAAGAGGAATGAAAAAAGGCTTTAAAAATAGATTAAATAATATCAATAAATATTATTTAAAATAATTTTAACATTCAATTAGGTACAATTAATGCATACAATACTCATTTATTTATAATTATACACTCAAATCCATTTATTTTTTTTATCACTATAAATACTAATGACAGTCATTTTCACTTCAGAACATTCTTCCTTTTTCATTTAATATTTTTCTTCTCAAATCTTCATTATAATTACTAATTTACTCCTTTTCAAAAAAAAAAAAAAGAAGAAGCTTCTAGATTCCTTTTTTTTTTTTTGGCTTTTGCCACCATTATTAATATATCATTCTTGTGCAAAAATTTTGTTAACAGGAACCAAAGAAGAATGGCGTACACATATGGCCTTACTTATATGAAGTATATGTATAATTCAAGCTCGGAAAATAGTTATTGTTATTGATATATCAAATTTATTTCTTTTATTATTTTTGCAAGTGTGTACATAGTTTTAATGTAGATGTAAATGTAATAATTTTATTTTTTATGGGATAAATCATATTTTACCATAAATTCTTAACATAATTGTATTGATTTCTTAATGAATTTTGATAGCTCATACGAACTTGAAGTATACGTTATTATTAGCTATGTATCAAAATTTGTTACTCTTTTTAAAATTAAATTGTTACAAGTTTATATGTAGTTATAGTGTAATTGAAATAAGACTTGAAGAATATTTAACATTAGCTATAAATGAATTTTTTAAATAAAAAAAAATAATTTGTTGCAAGTAAGTACATAGTTATAATGTGAACTAAAATACAATAATTTTATTTTCTAAGTTAAAATCTATTATAATTTTAGAAATAATTATATTAATTTCATTTTGAATTTTGAATTATTTTGTACATGTTTTCGAAATAAATGATATTGTTGGAAAATATAGATATCTTTTTTATCTCAAAATGATTTATATATAATTAAAATTAGGCAAAGGAGAGTGGTGTGAATTTTTTCTTTGCCCGACAATTTTATTATTCTTTTTATTTATTTTTCTTAATTATTTTATTTTAAAGATTCATCTTCATCTCTACTATCTTTTTTATTATACTGTAAATTTGCTATCTGAGAGAGAAGTATAACGAACTTGAAAATTGCATTGTCAAGAATTTTAAAAAAATATAACATATGAAGTCTTGCTGGATAAATCTTTATCATTTACAAATCACAAGTATTTTAATATATTTGAATCATCATTATCTAATAATTATTTTTTATCCTTCCAAGTAGATTTTTTATATTGTAGCAAACCACACTTGAAAGTTGACATGTTATAAAATAACTATATATATAATATTTAAAAAAAATTCAAAATGATTAACATAATAATTTATAATAAATTAATTTAAATGAGTAATCATACTGCGCGAAGTGCGGTCAAATTTACTAGTTAATATTTAATAGAGAATTTATATAACTTATACTAGTTTAAAAATTAGTTAGATATATTTTAGTTTACAATATTACATATGTTATTATATTTGTGTACCTTCAGATACGTCCAGAATTATGTATCTTACCTTCAGATAAGTCCAGAATTATCTATCTTGGATATCTGGTATATATCTTAGATGTTAAATTAGGTCTTAGGTCTAACTCAAAGGAACGAGGATTGCACAAATCTTATAAGAAGTCCACTCATCTCATTAACCACCGATGTGACTTCTGTCATTCTTTAACACCCTACCTCATGTCCAGTGTATAGCATCTGGTGTGTGGGAAATTTTAATTTTGGGGGTCCCACCATCGGGTGAGACGGGCCCTGATCTGATACCATGTGAAATTAGGTCTTAGGTCTAACTCAAACCCCAAAAGTTAGCTCAAATTGAGGAGGATTGTCCAAGCCTTATAAGAAGTATATACATGTGAATCACTCTAAATACATATATCTAGTGTGATTTACACGTGTTTGAGATATATACAAATCTCGCTCACCTCCGTCCTCTATCGTATCCAAGTTTCATAAAGTCATATTTCAAATTCATTATCTCCTTCTCACTGTTTAATCCCGCGGCCTCTTGACCATTCCATCCGGAACAGACCATCCCCCGCCTTCTCATTCCAAGTCACTTTAGCCAACTTTTTTCTCTATATTTTTTAAAAGGATTTGATCATTTGTTGCATTCACGTAAAGTTTAATTAGTTGACATTTGAGATCATTCACTTATCAAGGATTCTATAGCTGTATTTTTTTTTTCTTTTCAATTATTATAATTAAGCTTGAGTTTAATTAATAGATCTCATTCAGTTTAATACTATTAGAATGATTTCTTTCACATGAGAGAGAGAATGAGGGAAAATTTATTTTTATTTATAATTGTTCACGTGTAACAATATATAAAGTTCCTTTTCCATACACAAATTTGAGCAACTAACTTATTATTTCACATCTTCCATACTATCAAAAATCAAATTTGAGAATTCTATTTTGGTTAATCTGGTAAGTGAAATTAATCACCCGATTATTTGTTATGGCGAATTTTAACCTTTTAATTAGAGTTATTAATTACTTGTTCGTTTTCTCTAGTATTGATATGGCAATAATATCTATTCCTAGTAGCACCACAATGTTTCCAATGCCTCAACAAGTATTGAGACAAGATAGAGAGGTAATCTCAACGTTACTAAACCATCTTATTAATATGAGAAATATTTTTCGATATAATATATGTATCGATCTTCGGTCTGATAAATGTAGCTTAAATTGGTTCTCATAAGGTTGTTGTCGCTGAGGAAATCGGCCGTGCCAGAATGCTCACCATGAATCGGCCTAACCATTTAAATTATATATCAGGCAAAATGGTATATATATTTATAGTATATGATAAAATTAAAAATATATGTGTAGTTATAAAAATATCTATTGCATGTTCACTTAATTGTAAAATTTTCTTTTACATTATAGGCATTAACGCTCGGACACAACTTTGAGAAATATGAGGACGATGATAATGCTGACTTTGTTATCATCAAGGTAATACTAATTACGAAATATCTATACTTTGTTTGGCATGATACATAAACTATACGTACTTTTTAACTTGACATCTAACTATTATTTAAGCCTTCCAATTTTAAATATGTACTAGTAGACACACATATACAACGTCATATAGTATGCACATTATCATGTAGGACATGGTTATATATCTACTTATTCAATTATATACACGTTTAAGTGTTTGTTTGTGCATTTTCTACAACATTTTTGTGCATTATATCTTTTGTTGTTGCCTAGCTTTTTAAATTTTCCTATTTAATTCTCATTCATTTACACGTATATAGGGAGCTGGCCGTACTTTTTCTGCTGGTGGGGACTTGCGTATTTTCTATGAGGAACGAAATACAAGTAATTACTTCTAAATTTTCCCTTTATTTTTTTTTAAATTTGTTACTATATATGTTAGAACTATTCAATTATTAATTTATTCTACATGTTCACATAAATTCATGTATTATTTGAAGGGGATTCTTGCCTTGAAGGTACTTATAGAATGTATTGGCTTTGCTACCACATTCATACTTACAAGAAACCACATATTGCTCTTGTACATGGAATGTCTGTGGGTGGGGGTGCATCCTTGATGGCTCCAATGAAATTCTCTGTTGTCACTGAGAAAGCGGTGGGTATTATCATAAAGAGATTTACGTATAATTATCTTATAATGACTTAATTGAACAAATTAAATCAATATTTAATTTCAAGTTGTCTAACATCTTTTTGTTGATCGAACTTTACAGTTTAGTTCCACTCCTGAAACAAATATAGGGTTCCATCCAGACTGTGGCTTCTCATATATGCTTCCGCGTCTTCCAGGTCGACTAGGTAAGCACTAGACTTGACTCCTACCTCGTATATTAATACCGAATAATATGATATATGTAAAAGAGAACCTATCCAAAAATATGTTTCCCTAATTAATTACATGTATGTATGTATGTATATATGTAGGGGAATACTTGGGCTTAACAGGAGAAAAACTAAGGGGTAAAGAAGTGGTTGCTGCTGGACTAGCCACTCATTTTGTTCCTTCACAGGTCAGTACAAGTTTTTCCTTTCCTTCAAAAATTTACCATACACTATGATCAGTGGCGAATTCATAATTTTCATTAAGTGAAGTTTGGAAAAAAAGTGATGCTGAAGATTTGAGGTTCGAACATCTCAATCACTAAGCTAACCTCTAATCCTATATTCAGGAGGTTCAAAATCAATATATAAACATAAAAATTCTTTAAAATACCTTAAAATATACAACATAAGTTTTCGCCGAGCGGATTCGGCTGAACCCCCTCAATAGAATGTAGGTTCGCCCCTAACTACAATACAGAAGAATTTTATATTTAGCGATAATAATATAATTAATATGAATATATTTATAACCAACACTCGATATGTATAAATGCCGCTAAAGATTTTATAAACTCTAAATACAATGACTGGTTAATAACCGCTAAATACTATATTGCCACTAAAAAAAATTATTGCCTATAATTATCTCTTTTGCTTATATTTTTTTTTTTCAAATATCAGAAATTATTTCAGCTAGAGAAGCATTTGCTTAGCATAAAAAGTGGTGATGAGGATACAATTAGATCAGTCATCAATGAATTTTCCTCAAATATTCACATTGATGAAAGAAGTGTTTTGAACAAGTAATGTATCATATAAATTATTATATTTTAAGCTTTTGCTTTGAAATGAGATATTAAGAGTGACATTTTCTTTTTTTTCAATTTACATGTAGGTTGTCCATAATCAATGAATGTTTCTCCAAGGATTCTGTGGAGGAAATTATTGAGTCATTTGTAAGAATTCATTTTTCTAATTACATGATATTTTTAAAATTTTGCACCACATTGCATACTAAGTGAAAAATATTCAAATTTTTTATGTATTTTTTGCTTTAACTTTTTAGGAAGCTGAGGGAAGCAGAAAAGGAAATGATTGGATTCTGGCAGTGCTTAAAAGCCTAAAGAAAGCATCTCCAACAGCACTAAAAATAACATTGAGATCGGTAATAAATCCTTTATTATGCTTACTAAACTAGAAAAAAAACTTTATCAAGCTAAGTACACAAAACTTTATATTTACAAAATGAAAAAGGCCCTTACTTGTTTCCTAAATTATTATTTTAGATACGAGAAGGAAGGACACAAACAATATCTGAATGTTTGAGAAGAGAATTCAGGATTTCAATGAACATACAACGAGCCATAACATCTGGTGATTTTTATGAGGTAAGTTTACAAATAATTTTTAAGTAAACTCAATCTTATCATGTGCATCATATGTAGAATTACACTTAACTTTCGATTTCTAATTTAAAGTTCATGAAATATTTTTTACACATGAAGGGCATAAGGGCTCAGATAATTGACAAGGATAAGTCTCCAAAGGTATGCACCTTTTTTTTCTGAATATATAAGTAATACTTAGTATTTCTGATTATTGAATAATGTGCTTTATTATTAAAATATTTCACTTTCATTTTTATATAGTGGAACCCTTCAACTCTTGACAAAGTGCATGATGATCAACTTGACTTAATCTTCAAGCCATTTGAAGATCATGAGTTGGAACTTCAAATTCCTATTAATGAAGAAGAATACAGGTACAAATATGAAGTCATATATTGCATTTTATCGAACAATGTATAGATTTTGCAGTCTTATTATTTAATAGTAATTAATCTTGCATTTGATCTTATAATTAACAGGTGGAGAGGAAAATATGAAAATTCGAGCTATTCTCATCTCCGTGGAAGTGTCCTTATGTAATTTGTTTTATGTTATTACTAACACACAACAATGTATATAGTTATTTGTAACAAAATGCATATACAAGTGTACGCGGTCTCCAAATAATACAATGAATTAAAGTAGTCAGATATTGATCCCATGGCCACTTGATTTATAGTTTATTAAACTCAATTGGAGTAAATATATATATCATGCAAGTGTTTTCATGACTACAAGCCTTGTTTTTGTTTAATAAACTATTAAAAAAACTAATTAATTACTCTGTTTTAAACTAGCTAATTTTGAGACGTAAAAATCTAACATAATAGGAGATTATATTCCTGGGTTATGTATGTTAAAGAATGACAAAAGTCTCACATCGTTGGTTAATGAGATGGTGGACTCCTTACAAGACTTGTGCATTCCTCCTTCTTTGAGCTAGTTTTTGGGGTGTGAATTAGGCCTAAGACCTAATTTCACATTGTATCAGAGCAGGGCCCGTCTCGCCCGATGTTGAGCCCCCAAAATCAAAAATTGTCCACGCACCAGATGGGTGGACTCCTTATAAGGCTTGGAATATAAATTAGGCCTAAGACCTAATTTCACAATGAATACATTAGCAATCATGTGAAGTAATTACTCTGATTTTTTATTAAGTAGTTGATTAATGAAAATTACTGTAATCAAGCTATCTTGAGCTACGCTTCAAATTTTTAAACGAAAATATTACAAGTCTCAAATATTACTCAACTTATTATGAAAGTCACTAAACAACTTTTTGTAACCAAAAGTCAAGGAACTTAAACCTAAGTATCACATAAAGTCATTTGCAGTAACCAAACGAGATCTTATATGATATAACTACAAACAAAAAGTAGCTCAATGATTTTTCATCACGCTTCGACAAAGTTGAGTTTATTGTAAGAGTCGATTTAACGATATTAGGGGCCTAAAGCGAAATTTAAAAGAGAGACCCTAATATTTTATATTTTTCATCATATATACTTTCATTTAAAATATATTTTCTAGCTATTTTAGATGCAAAGTCATTAAGTGTTGGTTTATAATCAATCTGTTTTAATAATCCTTTTTCAAATGATAATATAGCTAATTCATTCAATCTTCCTTGAGACATTGTTGATTTTAAAGAAGATTTAATCAATTTTTAATTTGAAAAAAAAATCGGTTGAGGCAACGGTTACATGAATTATTAACATTATCTTATAAGCAATATATGTATTTGGTAAAAAATAATTTTTTAAATTAAATTAAGTATTTTCATTCGATCATTATCTTCTACTTTTATTATTTCTCTTAACACTTTTAATTCAAAAAACAAATCTAAATAATTCAATATCAGAATAACTATTATGAGTTAAAAGAAAATTCAAGGTTAAGACAATATTTTTTAAAAAAAATCATCATCTGCTAATTAATCTCAATATTTACCACTAAATAAGAAATCAAAAATATTCTTATATATACAAATATGCTTCAATTGGTTCAAATCTATTTTGAAGTGAAAAAATACTTTGATTTACTCAACATATATAAAGTAAAGATTCTTATAGGGACTTAGTAATTTCTTTTTCCATATTTCCATCAAATTATTTCTTACAAAAATCAGGTTTATATTCATCACATATGTATTTTCCTTAGTAGAAATCATAGCACTCATAGTATACATAATTTTTTTAAAAAAAAAAATAACACATATAAATAATTATTTTTAAAAATGGGGGCGCCAAAAAATATAAGGCCCCAAGCGATGGCTTTAGTGACCTAGGGGTTAAGACGGCCCTGTTTATTTGTAATAAATAAAGAAAAAGTTCAGTGGCTTTGATAAAATAAAATAAAATTCAAGTGAAACTAATCCTCCTCTAAACTAGAATAATTAGTTGTTACGAGTGATGTAGAAATGGATTTGGGAGTGAAATAGGATTCAGATCAAATTACGTACCACTATAATGATGGTGGTGTCCAAGCTAATTCACGTCTGCTTCAAGAGTTATCCAAATTCTATTTTTATTTGGTATTGCCTTTAAGAACTTCCCTCTAACCTTTAGGCTTCCTCTTGCATAAATTAGATGGACTCTTCATGTGTTTCCGGATAAATAGTTTGTGTTTATCAAGTAAAATAAGGCTCACTTGGTAAGTATTAACATAAAGTGCATTGTGATACGGTAGGAAATTAACATTGCTAATGCCAAGATTCTCAATTTCTCCAACTTTGATATCATATGAAATCAACTATCCAATGTTCTCTCTCCACAAAGTTTGACCATTTTTCCTTGAAGCTATTGCCTTTACCAGGAAATGAACAATGGTCTCTATTCAACACTAATAGTGACAATGTTGGGATTTATGTAGTTTTGTTGATTGACAAAGAAAGATGAAACACGTCAGTCAACATGGTCCAAAGGTGCACTGTCACGAGAAGTCGAATTCGAGAAAGCTATTAGAATGAATATAGACAATAGTGCAGAAATAAAGAAATGAATAATGTTAATTTCGTGAGAAATTCAGTGGAAATAAAACATCTGAGTTAATGAAGAATCAATGAGTTTGATTTGAAGAAAGAGTCTAAAGAGACAAGGAGTTTTAATTGAAGAAAGAATTTCACTTAAAGTAGAAATCTTCAAGTTACTGTTGAATTGAAGTGTTGGATTTCGAATACAATACAAAAGAATCAATAAATGTAATTTGAAGGTCCAAAAAAGTTAGGACTTTCAATTGAAGAAGGAGTCTTACTTGAAGTAGAACTCTAAGTCAAGAGAGTTCAAGTCAATATGGAGTTTGAAGTAAACAATAACTCTATGAAGAATTGTGATTAACTAGAAGTGAAGTTGTTCATAATACTTATGCACTTACAGAGCAAAAGAGTGATTGAGAAATTTTCTTCGCAAGTGCTACCAGTGAACTGAAGGAAAATATCGAAGAACCTGATCCTTTTACAGAGTATGTGTTAGAAGTTTTTCATTATGAATGAGTCTTGATGTAATCTTAGTTTAGTGAGTTATAAACTGAACTAAAAATGTTGTCTTCAGGTTGTGATAAATTGAAGAGTTGGGAACGCATACCTTGGGGGGTTTGCATTGAAGGTTGGGAATTAGAGATAGTTCCTAGGATTACAAGAGTTGTAATCCAAATCCATATGAAGTTAAGGTAGGTTGCAAAATTTGTAATCTATCTTCTGTGGAGGCTCACAGTTGATTAGTGAAGTTGGGGTAAATCATGTTGTGGAACAGGTCATGGTTTTCATGCCTTTTGAGTCGGGTGTTTTCACGTAAAAATATTGTACTTTTACTTACATTTCTTACTGCTTTATTGGAATACGTTAGGCGACTTGTTTCACACTTAGGAGAAAAGTTAAAATCAGAAAATTACTAGGTCGTGCAGGCTAACAAAGACTCCTCATACTAGAAATCTTCCTACTTAAAGCACTGCTCATCACATTGGCCTGCCCCAAATAATACAAGATAGAGATATCATAATCCTTCAGTTACTCAAGCCATCTATTCTACCTCAAATTAGATCTCTCTGAGTGAAAATATACTGAAGACTCCGATGATCAGTGAAGACCTCACAATCAGTCTCATACAAATAATGTCACCATAGCTTAAGCAAAAATACCACAATTGCCAACTCTAAATCATGAGTAGGTTATCTCTTCTCATGGGTCTTCAACTGTCTAGAAACATATTTGATCACCTTTCCTTTCTTCATATAAACACCACCTAACCCAATTCTCGAAGCATCACAATAAATGGTAGAGTCCATAACCTCCTCAGGTAAAGTCAACACAAAAGCCGAAGTCAACAAAGTGTTGAGCTTTTGAAAGCTCTTCTTACACTCATTATACCATTGGAAGCTCAAACTATGTTGAGTCAATATGTTCAAAGGAGATGTAATAGTGAAGAAGCTCTAAACAAATTGATTGTACTAGCCTGCAAGCCCTGCAAAAATCTTTATCTTGGTCACTAAAGTAGGCCTGTTCCAACCTCAAACTACCTCAATCTTGGCTAGATCAACCCGAATACCCTTCCAACCTCAAACTACCTCAATCTTGGCTAGATCAACCCGAATACCCTTCTTGGATACCATTGTCTCAAAAATGCAACAAAATCAAGTCAAAACTCGCACTTTGAGGACTTGGCATACAATTTATATTCTCCTAATCAATAGAACACACGCCCTAAGTGTCTGTAACATTCCAGAAAATTTACTCGTCTAGTGAAGAGCCTATTAAGTTTTAAGAATAGGTATTGGGGGTACATAAGCATCCCAATGCCCAATATTGAGTAATATTGGGTTATTAGAAATATTGTCTTAAAAAGGTGTTAGCCAATTTTCTAAGTATTAACAAGCTTGTTCAAGAAATGTACCTGCAATGAAGACCCTAAGCTAAAATATTGATTTTCAATTTAACACATTATGTACGAGGCATTCAAGTGTCAAGCGTAGGTACCATAGCACATGATCATTTAAAATGATCATGTAGAGTAAGAAATGACCAAGTATATAGTGAGGATCCTTAGGAGAATAAGAAATGAGCAATAACCCATGTGCAAGCACATGTGCAAGAATTCGATTAGGGTGGTTAGGGCGGTTAGGGGCAGGCGCACATGTGGGGGTCAAGCCATGTGGGGATGAGATTCATAACAACCTCTCTACCCTAACTAACTTACCTAACTATCTAACTAACCTAGGACTAATCGAAATAAACTAACTAGTGCACCCGACAATCTAAGACCTAACCGGGTGACACTAACCTAGTAACTAATTCAAGAAACATCCTAGTACCTAACCTAGGATGGTCCAAAGGGTTGGTTTAGTCTTAATGACTTAGAGGAACTTTACTAATTACCCTAGGTCACTTAATTAATTAAATTAACAACTTAATCAATTATTTAAATGGTCCGAAATCCTTACTCTAGACAAGTAACTAATAAGAAACATCCTAGTTCCTAAACTAGGATGGCCAAAGGGTTAGTTATGGTCCTAACAACTTAGGGGTAATTTCGTAATTACCTTAGGTTACCTAATTAATTGGAGCAACTTAATTAATTAATTTAATTGGTCAAAACCAAAATCACTAAGCAAGTTTCAGATTTCGGTAAAGTCAAGTGTTCTTCTAATTCTAGTCAATTTAGGAGGGGTGTTTTAGTAAATTAGCTATTTGATTTATTAATTAAGTTATTTAGT